AATTTTGCTTTCTTTTAGTTGTGTAATTGGTAGCGTAGTTGATTGCATCAATGTAAACCCAGCGCACGCATGACGCTTAAACCATACCTTGCGTGATGTGTGGAAAGCAATAGCAGAAATATGCGCACTAACAAAAGTAGGCACCATCCTTAAGTGATCTTGGACTTTAAGTTGATATCCCTTTACTTGTAGGTAGTTCAAAAGCAAAGTGTTTGGTTTTCAGTTTAAATCACCTGGGCATTGCCATGTCTACTTTATGGTAATTTATTATCATTGTGCAGTCAGTGATCTCAATGTGGAAACTACATACATGTAAGGAGATTTCTCATTGGGACTGTACAACTTCATCCAGGATATGAATTGTAAACAGTTATAAATAGTTTCCAATCGAGCTTTGCACAATTAAACAGGGCAGCATGTGGGAAGTTTGAAATCCTAAATCAAAATGCCCAGCATTCAAAACTGGCAAAAAATCGTTGACTTCAGATCACTGATTTGGTTTAACGCAGCCACCAACTTGTCATTGAAAACAAAACTTTTTTTTTTGCCATTCACGTTGCCATAACTACCCCGGTGGAGACACGTACTAGTAAGACCTTCTAAAGATCTAAAGATCATTAAAGATAAAGATCTTGTAAAGATCCTTAAATGAAAGATCTTGACAAGATCTTTTGAGCAAAATGTTTGGAGATCCCTGAAGATCCTGGCAAGAAAGTTGAAGATTCTTGAAGGTCCCTCAAGATCCTTACTGTTAAATGATGGCAAGGATATTAAGGATCTTTGAGCATCTTGGTAAGAATTTTTAAAGATCTTGTTAGGGTCCTTACTGACACAAATCCCTTGGAAGAAACAACATGAAAATGTGGAAATCATGCTTTCTTTCACACAGGGTCTTACTGTATCCCAAATCAAGAATGTACGAACACTAATTGATGGAAATATAGCCAAGTGTAATGAGGAGGTGGTTAATGTAGAACAGCTGAGGAATGAGAAACTATTTGAAGTTGGAAATCTTCTGCATGAATCAGTTCCTGTTAGTAATGATGAGGTATGTAACTGAACACAAAGCATGGTACCTGTTGTAATGTAAACATCTTTCTCTTTCTCAAGGGAAAGATGCTTACAACACTGGGAGCCAGATCATTTTTCAGCAGCAGCTCCGAAACTCTGGAATGGCCTACCTGTAGAACTTTGTCAAGCAACATCACTTGACAGTTTTAAATCTCGACTTAAGACTTATCTTTTTAAGAAGTATTTTTGTAATTTATATCTTTATTTTATTTTTATGGTGATTGTAAAGTGCTGTTGATCAGAATATGTAAATATGCACTATATAAATTGGTAAATTATTATTATTATTACTTTCACAATGTATGTTGTAGCATGTTACGGAACTTAAAATGTGATCATGTTAGGCTGATTACCTCACATGCCATCCTGGAACAGAGCTAGAGCAGCCTCCCACCACTGGGATTTTTAGTAGGGCTAAATGGAATTTAGGCAAGGGTAAAACTTAGACAATGCACGCAGTGGCTTCACTAGTATTATGCTGGGGCTCCAGGGAGGTTTGTAGGGGCACTGCCGTGTGCTTTCCTTACATTGCTTGTAGCAAGCAATGTAATATTGCTAGCTTTGCTCACTAGTTCTCTCAGTGTTGTGCTGACAGGTGCCTTGGAGGTGGGCTGTGGCTCAGTTGCCATGGTGACCCAGGGCTCGACACAGCTTTGCAACTTAGTAGCCTAGTGGCTCTAGAGTAACAACTTAGATGTTACTAGCCAAAAACATTTTCTACTAGCCAAGCATTTTTTTGCTAGGTTCAACAGCATCAGAATTACTAGCAAGGCTTGAAAGCACAATGCAGGCTTACTGTATGTTGGTAATTACATTGTACTTAAACCAGTTCTAATAACAAAACAACAAGATATAGCTATGCTTGACTGGTAACATTAACCGCAGCGGAACAATTTATCATCGAATTGCACCCGTTTTGATTTTGTCTAGTGACCTCGTGTTTTCCTCTAATCAAATCTCTCAGGCTGAAATATCACAAAGAAAAGTCCAGCAATTTTCCGAAAAGACTTTCAGGACTCTGTTTTTGTTTGAGACTTCCTTTGAAAAATTCAGGACCCGAAGATGTCATTGTAAAAACTGTTGAGACTTCAGTACAGACAGGTGCCCTAGAATTTGAACTGTTTCAAAAGCAGCATTGGCAAAATTCAACTGCTAATAAATGTCAAAGGAAATAAATCTTTCTCATCTAATTATTTCTGTAGCACTTGGTAAGTTTTGTCATTATGCATACAACGACAAATCACCCGTGTGTTGTTACGCTTAATGAAGTGTTGGGTGCTTACCATCTAGCAAACAGAATCTGGAAATTTTGGTTGAAAGTCAAATGGAACAGTAATTTTCCAGAAAATCCATTCAGAAATTGTAGGCTACCTCCAGAGGCAGTCCCTTTTTTCCATTCAGAACGAAATGAAGGAACTTTCCTCACCATTTGGTAAATTTTCCAGTTTCCAGTCTCTCATTAGCCGAAAACAATAATTAGTGAGGAGTTGAAGTGCAAATGGTAAGCGCCGATGTCTCGTTCGGTTGGTTTGGTGATCTTGGAAAAACCCTTACCATTGTTCAACAGTCATCCCAACCAGTTCATTCTGACTGGTCAATGGTAAGCACCCGTTATCCCTTTACAGTTTTGCACAATTTTGCTCATGATTTTATCAGGAAGCTCATGTTTTGTTTTACTAATTCCGTAACAAAAAAGAACATTGATGCGTGCTTTCAGAAAATGCTGTCTCATTTGTCAAATATNCGAAAATAACGTCTGCGAACCCGAGCCAGGAAACGATTTCTGTGATGTAATGACTTTTGTTTCTCCTTGGCCAATCAGATCCTATGATAGAATGAAACTCGAGTGCTCCTCGCAGCGAATACCTCGCGCAGTAGTTCTGAGGCTACTTGAGCTAAGCTGTGATTGGCTTAAAATTCTTACGTCAGAGAAATCGTTTCCTGGCTCGGGTTCGCAGACGTTATTTTTCAGCGGAGACAAGCGACAGCCGGAAATACGTCTGCGTTCGCAGGCTATGTCGTCACGGAAAAACAGAAAAAAGCAAAAGTCTTAATTCCTCGTACTCATTACTCTGTTTCTGAAAGTCTGCAAAATGCCGGTGTATTTATTATGTTTAAATGTATCTTTCAGACCGAATATGTTCACATGTTGAACGCCACAATGTGCGCTGTATCGAGAACCATTTGTGCGCTGTTGGAGAATTACCAAACAGAGGAAGGAATTGCTCTTCCTCCTGTCCTAAAGCCACTGCTTCCCGAGGGTTTGGGTTTTATTAAATTCGTTAAACCTGCTCCAATTGACGAGAAACCAGAGGTGAAGAAACAGAAGAAGAAGTCGAAGAACAAAGCTGGCGCCCAGAGTGAAGGTTGTTTAGAAGCCAAAATGGAAAATATGGACGTTTCCAAAGAATGAACACTAAATCGTTAGTTAATCCAATTGATTTGATGCATCCTGTTACCCGAATGACATGTAGCTGGTGGGTTTGTTGGAAGATAGCAAAGAACGAGGGGTGGTGAGGTATGTAGAGACAATAGCTTCCCCTTGCCCCACTTTACTCCTCATACTAGCGGCTTCATCTCAATAATTGCTCAACTGCCATCGTCGATGTCGCAACTTACATGCTATAAGTTGCATCCTGCAGCAGAGTGTGCTCTGCCGTCACGCGCTGCGTTTCTGGTCTGTCCCTGAGGGCAAAGATAGAAATCTCTCCCTTGCAGGTGTAGTAAGTTATTGAGAGTGGGTTTTTTTTTATGTAAGTTCGGGGAAAATTGAAGCAAAAGTGCATGTATTATAATCTGTAACTTTCTTTTGCAATCTCTCGTTCGTCGCGCAACAACTCACTAGTGTTAGTAATGAACGTTGTATAATCTTCTAAATGAAGTTTACCAAGTGGAGAAATAAAATGTAGAAGCTCTCAGGTGTCTTGATTTCATCTGTCTCGCTTAGACTAGTGATTTTACAACAACACACGCTTTATTACCAAAATAGAAAAACTCTTAGTTACAAAACAGAATAGCTTAGAAGGTAATCAAACTGAGTGAAAGTAAATAGTAGTTATAAAAAAAAAAAAATGTTGGTTAGCAATAAAGCTTAAAAGGGGGAAGCAGTGAGGAGACAGTAAGGGGGGAGAGAGAGCAATAAATACGTAAGCGGTATAAATCAGGAAGTCACTAAAAAGCTAGAAATAAAGTACATTTTTATTAAATAAGTCACTGGTAAGTGCCAGATGAAAACTCATGAATGTTGGCAAAACGATTGTAAGATGTTAAACTTAACTTTGTTTTTGAAACTTTTAAGGGCGAGGTGTTTAATACTTTCATCCAAATCATTCCAAATTTTTACAGCTGGAAACCGAATGTTAAATTTACCATAGTGTGTTTTGATGGTGTTGATATAATAAGTTGATTTTGATGCAAGCATAGTTTCGCGTCGTTGCTCGTTTTTTGAACAAACCGAATAGATAAATAACGCACGTGCATGTAAATACGTGCATCCGTACTGTGTTTCCATCGAGTGATAGAAACACGAGTCGAAGTCTGGGAGAATGAGAAATGCTGTGGGAACACAAACCGGCAGTCGAGTGTTTCTACAGCCTTCTCGAATTCTCCTAAACAGTACAAGCAGATTGCCGCAAACAGCCATGCCTTTTGTCTATGTGGTAAAACGAGTCCATGCAAAATCACTCGCATGAAAATTCACTTGCACGTTCATTTTCAATTAAATGAATCTCAGTTCTCATGAAAGATTCTGCATGAGGACTCTTATTAAAACAGAGGCACAAGGTAACCCGGAAATGGCTTACAGTGAAACCAGTATTACGTGGACCCCATATTAAGGGAACACCCTTTATTAAGCGGACACCAGCATGAGTCCCAAAATTTTCTTCCAACATTTACTGTAAAGTAAACCTGCATTCAGCGGNCCATATAAGGTAAAACTCCGACTAATGGCTCATAGTCGGAGTTTTTGAGCCAATCAGAGAGCTAGAAATGCAATAGTCGGAGCTGAGAATATACTAATAAAAGATATTTATGGTTCTGAATTCCACCTGTCTCGTCAAGTCGTTTATAAGGCTAGATTTTCCGCTCAAACTAAGCATTTCAAGCACGCTGAGAGGAATAAAAGACTCAAAAAATGTCTTCAGGAACCAGAAATAATATGTCACTAGATTGCCAAAAATATCAGGAACCTCGAACATCCACGAGTTGTAAAAAAAATTGGCCGGCGACTGGAGAAAGCGGAAATTTGCGGGACTGAATATTCAAGACAATACCCGTATAGTAGTTTCCCAAAGCATTGTGGGATTCATTGGAGTTACCTTTGCTGACCAGCAGGAAACGAACACACAACAGTTCGGTGTTAGAAGAAGGCCATTTGGGTAAGCGGATATTTACTAGGCGGTCTCATATTACCCAAACGCGCGGGAAATGCCTTGAATGCTTCGATCGCCCTGGCCAGCTTGAAGTGATGGGTGATTTGTATCACAAAGCGGCTCGCGATAGTGTTCTTGAGCTTCTTAGAACAGCAACCAAGCGGGATGCAAATCGAAGAGATGAAGATGGAATGTCACCAGTGCATTACGCCGCGAGTTGTGGAAATGTTGAGGCGCTTCGACTGCTGGTAGGAAAGGGGTAGGTCTGTACAAATTAAGGCGTCCATAATTTGGCGAAAAATAAATTCGATTCGCTTCCCGAATATTGTTCTTTATGTAAGCGATACAAAGGACGGTTTCTTAACCGTGTTAATTTGAGCTTTTATTTTGTTTGAGAATGTAGGAATAAGGGAAAATTAAAAGCTTAAAGTTAGCACCTGCCTTCTCTGGCTCAAAAAAATTTGCGGTGAAAATATAAGATTTAAGAAAATGAAAACGAAAATGTATTCCGCCTAGTATCTTACTGTTTAATATTCGTGTGCGTGAATTAAAATTGAATGTTCCACACGAAAATTTAGGAGACGAAGATCTTGATTAGCAGGGGACAGCCATTTCCAAAGACCATTTCTTCTACATAGATTATTTTATTGCAAAATGATTATTTTATGTGTATCAGAACGTTAAATTATCAGAAGAACGGATTTTCCGCGAAATTTTGTACGTGTTCAAGCTGTAAACATGTTGTAGATAAATTTTGTTAACACCTTGATTATTCATCAGTTTACACAGTTAGTAAAGGAACTTACGCTTAAGTTATTGACGATCTCAATGGGAGTTTTACTATACCTTCCCTTAAATTATCTTTTTATGCATACTGAACCAGAATTGTTTACGCCGGTGAAGCCATCTCTCTGTTTCGCAGTTATTCTGCTGTCAGGGAGATCGTGGGAACTAGTGAGGCAAATTGAAGTGATAATTCAGCTTTGGAAGAATCGGGAAAAAAAATCGTTAAATAAAATCGAAAGATAATTTTCCTTGTCCCTCGCTGCCTCTGGAAGTTGCAGCTGAAGCAGTTTAAAATGTCATATTTATTAAAGTAAGTCTTTCATTTTACATTGCGTGTTCTGATGATTCAAATTCCTGTCGTTTCTTATTAAACGTTATGGATCATGGGGTTTCAACTTTTAAGTGCCTCTATTGTTACTATAAATTGTTGTTTTTTCACATTTCATTGAAGAAGCCATTTGAAAGGTCAAGAACATTATTTTAGTTGATCTTAAACTACTTCACAGTTAGTAGTTAAGTCTGCACTTAAAAATGGGGCGTTGCCTTAACTAAGTTGTCTGCACTTCCAGTCTTTTAACACGAAGCCGAAACTAGAGTTGTCTTTACTCCCAATAAATTAGATGCTCTAGACTGTTGCATACAGTGAATACTAAGAGTCTTATACATGTTTGATATACCAGTGTGATTGTACTTTAAACTAGCAGCCAGTAATTATTTTTTTCCAAATGGTAAGGGTTTAGCTGGTGGGGCTTAGCCTCACCATATGTCTGGTAACACAAAGTAACTTTAGACAAGTATTGTTACTCACACTAAATGAGACGCTCTAAGTCAGAGCGTGTAGGCCCCCCACCCCCCACCTACATTTTTGAAGGTCGCACTGACAGTTTACTGTTACCCAACTGTACTCGTGGGAGGGGAGTACAAAAACTGCCTTTGCATCGAGAGTAGCTGATCATGAGAGTGGGATCATCTATCTAAAGTATCTATGTAGTATTTCATTTCAACACAACACAAATATGTCAGTAATACTAGCACTCAAAAGGTACCACTCAGGTCTTCATGAAATACATTAAACAAGTGAAACTGTAAAAAGTGATACCCTCTACAAAAATCTCTCTTAAAAAGTTTATCATAATTCTTTTTTTAGAGGAGAGCCTGACAGGCCAAACCAAGATGGTGCAACCGCAGTTCACTTAGCTGCTAGTTGTGGACAACTCAACTGCTTGAGCTTCCTCACTAACTTTGGTGCCAACATCTGGGCTCTTGACAATAATGGACGAACTCCTCTGGAAGAAGCTGCACTCCATGGACGCATGGAATGTGTGCGTCATCTAGATGGCCTCATTTCCATTTACACGATGCGCAATAAGGAAGAAGTAGACAGGCATAGAAGACAGGCCAAGAAAGACATGATGAAAAGGATAAAAAAGCAAGACAAAAGTATTCAATCTAGAGACAATGCTTATGAGAAGAAAGTTGCAAAGGAAACACTAAGGGCAAGGAGCAAATCAGAAAATGATTATAATAGGAAAGATTCGAGGAATGGAAATAGGATGTCATTTTCTCATCGAAAAACTGAAAAACCATTCTCAGAATTAACCAGCACTAGTCAGTCTCCAAAAATGTCTGACCAGAAAAGCATGAAATCTTACTCATCAGAAACTTTTCAATTTGGTTCTAAAAATAAAAGAGTAATGGGTGCGTTAAGATCAAAATTCAGTTCAATGAGTAGCTCTGATGAGGAGCCCAGAATGGTCAGTCGAAAGTCACTAGAGGAAGCCGGCTTAGTCCACAGCATGTCACAAAGTTCACCTTCTCTATTGGATCAGCTGGAGTCCAAAATAGTTGAAAATCAACATCAGAGTTTAGCCTCTGAGTCTGTTGATCCTCACGAAGTGGAATACTCAGACTTGGCATTTGGACATGTGGTCAAAAAATTTGATGACAAAGGCAACGTCACAACACACGTTCATTATGTGCCAAAAAGTTCTGCCAAGATGAAAAATGGCAGTGTGGCAAGCCGAACTAGCCACAGTAGTCAACACACCAGCTTAAGTAGCCAATTAAGCTCATCATTCAATGACATTGGCAGTTTGAAATCTATTGATTTTGAGGATGATATATACTCTCAGTCAGACATGGCAACAGAAAACACAGCCGGTAAAACACTGGTTACCTTTATGGCTTCCCTCAATTTGGAACAGTTTACCACATTGTTGATCAGAGAAAGCATTGATCTGAGTACTTTGGCATTATGTACTGACGACGACCTAAAAGACATAGGCCTTCCTCTTGGCCCAAGAAGAAAAATCCTGGATGCCGTCAAGAAAAGAAATGTGGTAATAAATCATCCAGGACCAATGACAGACTCTAAGATATAATTACATAAAAATCTACGCAATTTTTATGGCCCCTTATTGGTGTAGAAGACACAGAACATGTCACAATAGAGCACTGCCTCATGCGATCACAAAATTATCTATTGTTTTCCTCATTCTTTTGATCTTTCGTTCTGTATTGTGTTACATTAACTGTGTCATCTACACTAAGTAAGAGCTGTTTTTATCCAGTTCTCAGCACACATATTGGTTATGGCTGCGGGGAGCCTTCAAGTTGTTGAAAAACGGTTACCAGACTTTCTTTCCTGGTTTGGTTAAAATTTTGAAGACAACAAAAAGGACCAAAGATTTGGCCTAAGGTGGTAATTATGCTTAGACCAGCCCTTCAGTTCTGAATGCTTACAGGCAACATGGACACAAATTGATAATAATAAATACTGGCTTACAGCTATTAAATTTCAATGCCTGTATACTTAAAAAAAAAGTTGAGAGAAATAAATGAATAACATGAAGCCAGAATTGTCAGAAGTGGCCAGCTGGCAAACTGTGCTAAACTTTGGGAAAATTCAAACTACAGAAGTCTTGAAGGAGATCAATTTAATTTATCATTAATTAATCGTTTCTAGTGAGAAAATTCTATAGGGGACTGGTGAAAATCACTGCATGGTTATAACATTATAGTGACATAAATGTATTGCTCAAAGAGCAAGCTGAGAAACTGGGGATCGTTTCATTTGGATTGCCCAAGTTTGTGTAAGAACTCTCAATCATTAAGACTGCTGACAGTGCTGTAGCCAGAGAAAAATTGTTTGAGGCAAAGTCCATGGTTTAATTCTCTTCCTAGGTACTTAGCAGTGTTTTAATTTCTTCCCTCAAAAAGAAAACCAACAATATAAAAAAATGACCATGGCAAGTGTCTCGGTTTGACTCATACTGGCTACAGCCCTGGCTGTAACACACAAGATCAGATTGCCATGCGTATTATTTTTGCTGCGAATCGCAGCATGTGCTCACAGGATATGCGTAACAGGCTATATCTGCTATCCTTAGATAGACGGCGGTGTTTGAAGCTACAATTAGCGTTTAAGATCGTACACAATGTTCACTGTCCGCACCAGTTAGAGGAATATCTTGTTAAGAGGTCTGATCTGCATGGAAGAATACTTGAAGACTCAACACTGAAACGTCACACCAACTAAAACGAAAATGGGTCAGTCCTACTTTCAAGTGTGACGCTGCACGAGAATGGAACAGATTACCAAGAGAGATCAGAGAATTAAACTCTTTCTAAGTTTAAAACACATATTTTTAAGCATTTTATGGATCAAGACCGTATCAATCATGTATGTANGGTTCAATTTTTTGCTTGTTTGTTTGTTGTTGTTGTTGCTCTTCTTTTCAAATGCTTGTTTTTACATAATCTCCAGAATGGTTGTAATTTTTAATGTAAATGTTTAGTATATATATCTTCTTGTTTTTTTTTTTAAAGTACAATTTTATGAATAGCTGTATTTTATATGTAAATGCTGATCACCAGTTAATACCAGCGATCCAGTGATCACTGATTGGCCTTTCAGGTTAAATAAAGTCTTTTATTTTATTTTATTTAATGTGTTCATTACAATACACAATGCCATTGTTACTATCACTTTTTTAAGCTATTAAGTTCTTTCTGTCAGCCTTGCTAATATGCATGGAAAAAAGTATCTGGAGGATTTACTCCAGGATCCTTAGAACCTATGGTAGAAATGGTATTCAGAGCTATTAATAATGCCCTGTTTGCAATATTCATGGCCAGTATTCATGCACCTTGATGAAACTGTTAATTTCAGATGGTAGAATTTGTTTAAATAATGCCGTCTTTTATGAAGGGACATTAGCTGAAGGTCAGTTACAGAATCTTTAGCTAAATATTTTTTTTTGTCTTTTAACTTAACTCACAAGCTGTTTAAGTAATGCACCTAACAAGCCCCAATTGCTCAGGGATAAATTAAGTCTTAATCTGTCAGTCTGACTGTCTGTCTGTCTGTCTGTCTGTCTGTCTGTCTGGATAAAATTTAATTGCAAAGAACCTTATTAATCTGATTGTTTGGGTGTTCTGTGCCACAGTTGATAGATAACAATACAAGCTTTACAACAAATGCAGGACAAAATTGTAATTATTGCATATTACTGTCTCATGAAGTTCCTTTAAAGTTTTGGACTAGACTGATAGAGCCGAGTTATTTAATGTCATTGTAATTTGTTCTCTATACTACATTGCATGTATTATTATATATAACATATATTTGTTATAAATATATGATATAGTAATAAATATTTATAATATAATATATATTATTTTATTATATTTGCAAACAATAAAGGTAACAAATTTAATTTGCATACATTTTGAATTAGGAGTTGTAATGCGCCTTTCCTGTCTATTTGCCTTGATTGAAAGAAACTTACAGATTAACAATTATCTCATATTTACAGTGACCTGTTACATCACACAGTGTGCGATGATCAGATTAGAATTTTAATTTGTTAATGATCCACCATGAGAGAATGACAGGCAGAAGGGTTGGACCCTCTTGCCAGTTATTTTATAGCCTTAAGCTAGTTTTTGCAGCCCAGCCAGGTTGTAAATTAATACTTGAAACTAGGAATCCATGTCAGCTTCAGTGAAACCCTGTGAATAATACTTGCATGAACCAGGTACAACTAGTAGTATGCTCAAATTGTGATCTTGAAGATAACACAACACAACACAACACTGTCACACTTTATTACCAAAATAGAAAAACTCTTAGCTAGAAAAAAAAGATAATTGAAATAGAAACTGATAAAGAGAGAAAAACAAATCCACGACAATCGTGGCAAATAATTATCTGTGATTCAAAACATCTACATATTATCCAACATTCACGACACAAACACCTTGTTGGACATGACAATAAACTCTTACTATTGAACTTGGTCTCACCAAGCAGATCTACAAGCACTTTCAGTCCAAATCAGCAGTTTTTCCCTAGACCAATATATCTTTAACACCTGTTTGGGATAAAGAAATGAATTGAATTCACACCATTCAGGGCTCAACTTTCAGGGAAAAAAATGGGGGCCAGCTGGCCCCTAAATTTTCAGATTTAGTCGCCAGGAAAAGTATTTCACAAAAAGTGTGAAATGTTAGTCACCAGTGAAAAAAGTTTGGTGGCATTGGCAACCCCAGTGGTCGCAACATTGAGTTCTGGAATGTTCATAAAAATAGTCATAAATCCATGTTTACTTTACTATATGAATATACTAAGTGAAAATGCATCTTATCAAATTAATAACAATCTTTGGATCACATACTAGATACATTCACACATACATGCATACTTTATTTGTTATAGTAGGTTGCGGCTCAAAATAATGGCCAGTCAACAGACAATGTCCAGCCAGAATGGTGACTTGACTGGCCAAAAACTTCACTCGCCAGTAATGTTGACCGGTCATGTCATGTTGACATGGTCACATTATTCATTCTGAATAAAATACCTGACCAGTCAGAAATGAGATGTGACCGAGCTAAAATTACTTTGGCCAGTCAACATGACCGGCCACGGTCCGAAAATTATTTTTAGCTCTGTAGGCTGATGTGGACCTACTGTCTACGATACAATGTATGCTGTGTAATAATGGTAATATGTTAGGAATAAAATAAGTGGAAATAAAAGGAATGAAAATGAAACAAAGGCTATATTAAGTTAATATAATGGAAGGACAAACTATATGACATTTTGTCTAAAAATATCAGACTTGGAACTATACTACAGTCAAAACAGCTCAAGCGTTCCTGCCAAGGGTGAATGAACGAGTTCATTATCAGAAATTTGATTTCATTACTCGTTTCAATAGTCTGTTATTCAAGTGAAGAGTAGAAAATTCAAAACAAGACTCGATCCAATACTCGAATTTTGATTGGATTAATGAACTTTATTTAAAATGAACCTCTTCAAAAATAGTCAGGTATCTTGATGCAAACCGACCTTTTCTGTCCCTTCCATAAAACTTGCTTCGATGTCAACCATCTTTGATATCTTTCCCACCACTACAGGAGAAGTCCTGGTGCTTAGCATTCCAAATATGGTATAAGTGTATTGTTCATTAATCCAATCTTCACTTAAATAACTGACTATTGAAATGAGTAAGGAAATCAAATTTCCGATAATGAACTCATTCATTCACCCTTGGCAGGAATGCTTGAGCTGTTTTGACTGTAAATATGCTATTATCACCATTTTTGATGTTAAGAATCTTGCTTAGGTATTTATTAATAATGTGCAGTGAGCCATTTTTGAGAGTGTAGAGTTTAGTAACTTTGTTTGAAAAAAATGATGAATTGAAGTGAATTACCATAATATGCACGTAAAAAGTCACATACTGTGGGCAGCAGCTTTTGCCCTGTACTTTCCAAAGAAGTCATCCCCATTAAGATAACAGCCATGCATTGTCCTTTTTCCCGTAAAGGAGGATCTTCCATGCAGTACCCTCCAGTTGCCCATGATCAGCAACAAACCAGGAACTAACTTGAACCAAAACTGATTCTCTGGGGCACACGCGAGACCAGTGAATGATTTCAAAGCTTTGTAATAT